CAGCTAAAATAGTGAAATCTACTCTGAGTGGGATTATTTCAGCTAAATAGAGGCACCTGGAGGTTAGACATCTCTTTTAATTCAGCCTGATCCTCATAGCTCCCTTTTCAGTCAGTGGGAAGATTGACCCACCTGCAGATGACAGGATTCTTGCCTTGGAGATGCTTGTTTCCTCCCAGAGAGGTAAAGGGGGCTTTGGGCAATGAATTGTCCCCAACCTGACTGTCTAAAATACTATTACTTTTAGATCTATCCCTTGTATTTGGCTGGTTCCTCCTTCTTTTACCCCAGTACCTGTGTGCAAGCTGGTTATGTCCCCTCTGTTTTGTTGAGACATCACCTTTCTTGTTGCTGAATACATAGCTCTGACATGAGCTCTAACAGCATGTAATAACGTTGCTGCTTTGACACATTAATAAGCAGGCAGTGCCTGGACTCTAGATGTCTTTCCTACCTGTAACAGTGCCTCTGTTAGACAGTCTTGCCACTGCAAGTCTTCTCTTATGTCAGGTCATGTTTTGGAATTGCCCTAAAGTCTCCTTGCAGAATAAAGTCAGGTACGATCCAACTATCCATAAATCTAAGTAGAAAATGAAAGTGTGCAAGGTCAGAGATAATGCTGCTCTGATCTCTGGATTTATTTTTCTTTTTTAAAAAAAATACATAGATTTTCCTAGTTTTTTCCTGATTCTCCCAATTAATATAACAGAACAAAACTGGTGTATTGTGTCACTGGGTGAAGATAAGAGTTGACTGACTTCTTCCCCCCAGACCCTTCCTTTTTGCAAAAAGATACAGTTATGATCTACAAGATTTCAAGACCTCTGGCTATGTGACCATAAATCAAACCTAAACAGCACAACTGGAAATCCCTGAGGTTTGTTGCTCAGAATAGCTTCATCATGTAAGCTCACCGGGCCTTAGGGAAGTCATCAGCTTTGTATAAAGGCACTGGGATTTCAGAGTACACTTTTCTAGGATAGCACTTCAGGTACACGTGGGAGGCTTTACAGAACTCCAGAGATCCCAGTTCTCCCAGCATTCAATTCTCCAATTAAGCACCCCTAAGGATACCTAGCCATAGAGACCTGGTAGCTGCAAAGGCTGATCACAGCTTTCATGGTGAGATTGCCCTGGAGCTGTGAATTTGGGCAGTCAATCTTAGGACTTTGTACCAAGATTTTCATTCAAAAATTCATGTCTAGGAAGCTCTGCTGTGCATACATGGACTGTATGTCTGTCACAAACATAGCATCCATCCATCAACCTAGCTTCAAATTCTCTGGAGTCACATAAGATCTCAGTAAGTGCATTTATATATGGAGTGTGCACTTAGATGCTTTGGCTGACAAGAAGATTAAGCTATCACATCTCCATTACAGCCAAAAATATGGGATTTTTGGTTTTCCATTGATGTTTGTTTGGAAAGAACAAGCCCTGCATCAGGATGAACATAAAAGTTGTCTTGAACTAAGAAAAAATTAGAACCACCACCTTTATGATGTCAAAGTGTACTCAGAACTTTCAGCTGACAAATGACTTCAAAATTGCTGATAGCTTGGATTAGTTGTGTTTCTAATTCAAAATGATCAAATTTACAACAGCCATGTACTCTCTTCCACTATTCTATAATAGGTCTGTATTTCTCTGTAAATGTCGGCTTTACAATTACATTTCATTTTCTGAGGCCCAGGAAGTGCTTGGGAAAACAGTTTTCACTTACAAAACAGATCAAATGCAGCAGTGTTAGTCAGCATTTCTTTTTCAATCTCTACATAATCCTATTATATTTTAGGCAGTGCTGTCAAAGCATATGATGCTGAGCAACAATCTTACACAGAACAGCCCTGTTGCGGTCTGTGTACGTTCATGTCTTTGGTTGTGAACCATGGAATATCTTGGCAAAAGACTTAATGAACCTAGAGCCTCTTGTTTAAGCATTCATCCTATTATTCATCCCAATCTATTTATGCTCTGTTTTTAAAGAGTATTTTAAAGAGAATTCTTTATTGAGTTACGAAAAAAACATTTAATTCTATGTGTATATTGATTTCTACAAAACCTTTTTATTTGGGGATATTCTATCAATCCAACTGTCTGCTTTCTATGCCATAGCAGTCTTCCCAGTGTCAAGATCCTGCAATTATATCTGTATTTATTAAATGAAAAAGAGCAAGGCACTATTCTCTAACACTGAGACTTAGGGGCTGTATCTGTATTAGACAGCCTTCAGCTCCAGATCTTCTCTGAACCTTGAGCCAGGTCACCTCCTGAGCAGAGCAGTGATTTGTGTGTGCTATTCTGCAGGTGAGGCAGGGGTGATTTAGAGCAGTGTCTGAAATGTGAAGGATATATTGCAGCCCACAAACCAGCTGCTTTTATGACCTAACAATGCTAAACGTGTTATACGTGAAAGGTAGTAGAAGCGCAAGCAGGGACATTCGTAAGTTCATGATCTGCATGGTGAAGGTTGGAGGGGACTGTGGAGAGAAGGAGGAGCTAGAGCTGCTGTCACCATGTTCATACTTACATACATGGGTCATGAGTGACCAAGTCTTTGAAGAGTAAGTGGTTAAGTCATTTCACAGGCTGAAACAGGCAGGCATATAGGAGCCTGCCTAGTAACCCTGTGAAGGTGTGTTCCCTTTGTGATGGCACTTGGGCAGTTAACAGCAGCAGTGTAGCATTATACAGTGGATATTGACTCCTGCCATGCAATCATATTCATCTGTTTTCTCACTGTGACGCATCATGATTGCAGCTTGAAAATAAGTGTTAGCTTCATAACAGTGCTATATTTTGTGTATTAGTTTTATCTGCTAAACTATAGATAGAGTTGCAATCAACCTGTCTAGGGTGTTGTAGACAGTAAAATTAGTATATCCCATATTTCTGTCCACATGTTCCCAGCATGGTCCTTTCGCAGAATGTGTTGCCCCAGATCTGCAGAATGCTGAAATGGTGATGTGGCATGGATGAAAATGAATCCTATGAAGATAGAAGTTACTGGATCAGTCAGATGATTGAGATACCCCTGAGGCTTTGTGGTTACTGTGATGATGAACAGAAACAAGATGGGACCATGTGTCAGAGGTTTGAGGGCAGAAGTTGGTGAGGAAGGGAACTTTTCTTTTTGAAAGCAATCAGGAGACAGAAAGATCAAGCCAAACCACTACGAAATTAAATTATAATAACTCAAAAACCTACCTGGCACAAACGAGAATAGATCAGGTATCACTTCTTAGGGATCATGTTTGCGAAAAAATCCGAAGTTTTCCATCCTGTCAGCTAGAACACCATTAAGACAAAATGTTAAGTTCCAAGGACAATTAAGCTCAAACTAAGGAGATATAGAACTCTATAGGCTCCTGCACAAAATCTGCTCAAAATTTTCTAAAAGAACTTATGATAAGCAAGTGTATAAAAGCCATGTTGAATTAACTGTATCTCAACATCAATGTGAGAGACTGACCTTATTTGTCCCTCTAATAAACATGAAAGTAAGAAATTCCTCTAAGAAAATAATTAACTGTGAAAAATTAAAAGCTGTAATGGTATTGTTCTTAAAAAAATCTCTGTAGATAATAATATGAAAAATGCATCTAAATGTTCCATGTTGTTTTATTACCATATGTACTGATTTCAGCCGGGGTAGAGTTAATTTCCTTCCCAGTGGCTAGTATGGGTCTGTGTTTTGGATTTGTATTGAGTGCAGGGTTGATAATGTGGAGATGCTTTTGTTACTGCTGAGCAGTGCTTACACAGAGCCAAGGCCTTTTCTGCTTTTCATACTGCCACGCTGACAAGGAGACTGGGGATGCATGGGAGGTTGGGAGGAGACACAGCCACGACAGGTTACCCAAACTAACCAATGGACATATGACATCATGCTCAGTATGATGAGCTGGGGGGAAAGAGAAAGGAACGGAAGGTTTGGAGTGGTGGTGTTTGTCTTCCAAAGTAACTGTTATGTGTGATGGGTCCCTGCTTTCCTGGTAATGGCTGAACACCTGCCTGCCCATGGAAAGTAGTGAATTAATTCCCTGGTTTGCTTTTCTTGTGTGTGTGGCTTTTGCTTTCCCTATTAAAACTGTCTTTCTCTCAACCCATGAGTTATCTAGCTTTTACCCTCCTGTTTCTTTCCTGATCTGACTGGTGGGGAGTGAACGAGTGGCTGCATGGGCCTTGGTTGCCGGCTCGGCTTAAACCACAGCACCATATTATACAATAATGTGGAGTATCTTCTTCAGAGAGGTTTTAATGTTTATAGCATTAAAGAGTCTGCACACAGTTGTCTCTGAAGCTGTTAAACCAAATTCATGTCAAACAACTTGCAAGATTTCCCATTGGGATTGAATATTTCTGTTTCACTGTGTCTAGCACAATGTGTGCTCTGCTCACCTGGAAAGCAGTTTCCATTCCTTCATGTCCCAAAGGAAGGTATCAATAAAAAACATCCTGCTGAAGACACTACTCTTTCATATGGAAAAGCAAGACTTTAGTTCAGGATTAAGAATAACAATAGAAATTCTCTTCCTTATTGTATGGGTTTCAATCAACATAAATTAACGTGTTGGATTGACTCCTGCAGTCATAAATTTTCTAATTTGAATTATTTTACATTGGTTGCCAAGAACTGAGTTGGCACTGGTGACAGGTTTTAAGACCCTTTTTATACTTTCTAAGATACCGTGATAAAAGAGAGTGAAGAAAGCCAAAGAAATTGCCCTTGTACAAGCAGAAGCTTTTGGTTTTGTTTGGTTTTGGGTTTTTTTTTGGTTGGTTGGTTGGTTAGAGTTTTTTGATGTGTTGTTTATTTTTGGGGTTTTTTTTGGGGGGAGGGTTATTTGTTTGGTTTTTAGAGCACTTATCTACCTATCCTTTATACTTGATGTAAGGAGAATCAATCTGTAGTGTCTAGATCTATAAATAAGTGTCTAGAATAGTCACAGCCCTTTTTATTTATTATTCATGCTTAATGAATTGTGTTCTATTTACAGGTTTTATCTGGGGTGAAATTAAACAGATGTGGGATGGCGGACTACAGGACTACATTCATGATTGGTGGAACCTCATGGATTTTGTAATGAACTCCTTGTACTTAGCAACAATCTCTTTGAAAATTGTTGCATTTTCAAAGGTAAACTTTTTTTTTTTAAATCAGCAAAATTTTTAAAATAAATGAAATGAGGCTTCTTCAGTCTTTTCTCTGTATTTGGAGTTGCCCAGGTTTAGCAATGCAAGAGATGTATGATGTGCTCATTGAATCCTCTGCAGCAATGACAAGAAGCTAAAAAAGTATAAAAGCAAAGAAAACATTGGATTTTATGCTTTTTTCTTCTTGGTTCATGCAATCTTTTGTTATTTTGTTATGAACTGTCATACTGTTATTTTCTTGTAAAAGGAAAATTACTAATAATGTTTTATAATGTTTGCATACAATTATGTTTTGTGTTAATATTTCATTATTTTTCAGTAAGAAATTATTGCCCCTAAGACACATTTACACACCATGCAAAACTTTCAGACAGGACTACTAGCAACATATTTACTCAAAATTGGGGGGGGAACTAAAGTGTAAGACTTTAATTTGTTTTGAAAATTTATCATAAATGCAACATGAAAAAGTAAAACTGAAATAGATACAATGGTCACTTGAGGCTGGGAATGTTCATTTTTTTCATCCTTTTCTTGGACTTGTTCTGAATAGTTTTATATTTCACTGTTTGAAGTATCTTCCAGCAGAACAGCCATTCTTTCCAAAGCCACGGAACATGTTGTATGAACATTTTGTATTGCATTCAACGTGAATCCATAATATGATATAAATTCCTCATAAAATGAACTGTTTTAATCAAAAAAATGGTCTTGAGCACAAGGAAACCACATCTGAAAGGAAATTAAAGCATTTCTTAGCATCTGTCACAGAGTTTTTATCATATCCAAGTAAAGATAAGCCCATTTTTGCTGGCCACTGTACCAGCATTATATTTCAGCTTTTTCAAGAACCCTGCCACCAACTATCCTGTATGCATGGAAGGAGAGTCTCTCCTCTGCCAAGACACTTTTGATTGGGTCAAGGAGAGAGCCATCAAGTAGCTAGTTACAGCTTCCTCTCCTCAAGCAGCAGCTGTTCTTGCTGCAGCCCTGCCATAAGTGTAGAGGAACTTAGGAGCCTCTAATTTCTATCCTCTTGTGTCTGTTCACAAAGGTCCATATGTCAGCTAGTCAGGAGCAAGGATGAGCAAATACCTGGGATATTTTGACACATCAGACTTCTCCTTTGACAAAAGGTTTCTGGCATGCTGGGTCTCTGACTGCAAACTTTTGGAAGTCTCACTCAAAGAAATCTGGAGCTGTTGCCTGAAAGAGGAAGGTGTTCCAAAATGTGGAAAGCTGTCATTTAAAGCTAATGAAATGCCTTTTTATACACAAGGATGCCTTATAAAGTGACTGGAAGTAAATAGTCATTTCACTTTCCCATGTAACAAAGTGTTCATTGAAAACAGATGTTTCCAAAGTATTGGAGTTGACCAGTTATTCACTTCAGAATAACATTAATTAGAAGATATTATAATCCTTTCATCTCCTAGACAGCTTCTGCTTACGGTAATCACATTCCAAGGTGACAGTATCTATGCATCCATTACTCTCCAAATTGGTGCTTACATGTCTAGGATAATCAACACAGTGCATAAAGCACTCTTTGGTGCTGGCAGCTATTTTTTTTTACTGCATGTTCAGTGTTGTATCTAAAAACCTTTTTGTTCCTTTAAAAAACCTCAGTTTTGGTAGTCAACTGTAACATATGATGATATAATGAACGGAGTAATACAAGTGTGATTTAATACCCAGCCACATTTCCTTCACATACCTACAACAGAATTCATTACCACTATGCTAGATGAGATTGAGAGGATGCCAAATGTAACCAGTATGTTTTGATGTAAAGCTTTAATTTTCTTTTCTTAAGCCTTGCAAGATAGGTTTTCCTAAGTTACAGTTTTTCTAAAAGTATTTATTGATTCAAATATATAAGCTCAGATGAATCAGCTCAAGCCACCTAAGAAAACATTTTGACTAACTCCCTTGAATAAAATGAGTGCCCTCATGCTACTCTCCTCTGTGATAAGTATTCCCAGAGTAAAACATAGTGTTTATTGCCTATTTAAGTCTCTCTGACTGATGCTGTAGTTAAGTAGATGGATATTTACAGCAACTGATGGGATAGTGTAAATTACACCAAAGCATTTAATTTCAGGATGAGAGGACTGCTAAGATAAAGTTATCAGTTTCATTGCCAGTATTCAAATAAAATGAGTACATCACATAATTTTTAAAGGGCTATGCTTTTTGTCTCTGTGTATCAACATGTGAGGTCTTACTAAATTATCCAGTATGTCCACTGAAAATGCTTTATTCTCCATAAAAATGTCATAATAAATAATGCATTGTCCGACAGTTTTTGAAAGTACAAGATGACAAATTTTAAGCAACACAATTTTTTTGATGGAGGGTTATGGATAGAAATCATGGTGCTTTAGGAAAAAATGGTTCTTTTTATGGTTTTGGAAGATAATTTATTATGTACTGATGTGTAAAGTTAGGTGCAGTGCCAACTTCTATGCAGAACCTGCTTGCTTTATCTTAAATATTTGTTAAACCTGAGCATTGGACCTAGTGCTGTTTCTTTCCAATTCTGCTAGAAATTACATGCAAGTTCATATTACTGATAATGTGTCTCAGCTTTGACATGAAGAACTAGTAGAGAAACGTTGCTATTTAGGGAAAGAAGTCTGAAAAATAATTAAAGGTACATTATTTGTCTCAATATTTACTGGTGTAACGATCACTGTGTCAGGTCTACTTTGTTCAGTAGTAATTAAGATTATATATCTCCTCTGCTTCCAGTTCTGCAAAAGCTAACATCTTCTTACATATTTGCATTATAAAATGGTTTTGATTGATATTTTACCAGATTCACAGACCAAATGTCCATTTATATAGGAGGATTAACACCCCTCTGTCCCTGAGAAATGGACTGAATTCTTCACTGTAGTTACCATTTTAAAGCTCTCTGCAAGGCCTCCTACCCCCTTCCTACTGCTACTCTGAAATTCAGCATAATGACTGCAAAGATTGGGTCGTACATTTTAAAATAGGAAGAGTTCACATTTACATATGACCTTTCAGGGAAGGATTTAAAATACTTTTCCTGAAATTAATATTATGTAACTTTTCTTTTTGTGATCAGAAACAAGGCATTCACCTTTGACCAAGGTCCAACAGCCCATTAAACATTCAAGTAGCCTGATGTACATGTCTATTTGATCTCTCTTGGTGCTTTTGTAAGATCTACAGATCATGTCTTTTGTTTTAATGTGAAAACAGTGATTACTCTGCTTTTTTCTGATTTAGATTCTGATTATTTGGTTCTGATATTAGATTTGCATTAGAATTCCTTTGGGTAAGGATCAGTTGTTATCTTGTATGCCCTGAGTGACATCGCAAAAGCATCATATATTTGCCTTGAAACTCTAGTTTATATGCTTCTCCATTTGTTTTTTGCTCTTCTTAATTTTCCACTGATGTGCCATGTAAATTTCCTTCCACCAATGAGCCAATAATAGGTATTATTTAATCACATTAAGTGATGGTTGGCTTTGTTACATGTCGAAAGGTTGTGTTTGCATTTCAGCTGGGGACAGAAATTCATCAGGGTCACAAAATAATAGAGGACTGCAGAATATCAACATCATGATTTACAGCAAGCTCAGTGTTGCTATATTTGCTCTTACCATTTTCCATTCCTTAGAACAATAACCATTTATTTATTCTACATAGAACAGAAGAACATCAACAAACATGAGTGAGAGAACAAATACTTCAATTTTGCATGTTTTGGCTTGTTTGACCTTAAGATACAGTTTTTCTTCTTCTTTTCTCCTTTTTTTTTTTTTCATATTATCACTGTTCCTGGTTTTAGTATACCTTGTCTTTTTGCTTCTCTTTTTTATTTTCCTTTTCACATGGAAGTTTCTTTGCTCTCTAGATTTTTTATTGATATTTCTAGATTTCTTTTCAGCATCCTCTACTGTAGTTAATGAAATCAGTAGGTTTTTGTTGCTAGAGCCCTCTTATCCTCATTATTTTCTTTCTGGCTTCTTACAGTTAATATATTTCACAGATAATTTCCAAATTTATTTCTCAGGCCTTCATCTTTCTCGCTTTTTTTCCGCCAAGTATTTCCAGTCTCTTACATAATGTTTCTTCAAAACTAAAATAACAGCCATCACTCTCTGCTTACAACCATGACACCTTTTGAATTGTATCCACACATGCAGGAAGCAGCTGGGCCCAAAAAAGGCAGAGTCAGTTAAACTGAAATAACATAGTTGTGCCTTTGATTTCCATTTTTACAAATAGGAGGTTATTCGATCTTTTATGAGTGTTTTAACAAACAAGTTTTGTGTCTTGATCCAGGACATCACAGACAAAGTCCTTTATTCTCTCCTTTCTCCTCAGCATCATTTCTTTTAGAAAATGTGACATTAGATACATCTAGCCAGACTACAGCTGTAAGACAGCCTCTCCCCTTCCCCAGCCATCAATGAGGAGAAAATGAGAAACTTAAAAGAGCAACTCATCTGACCTGTTTGGGATATCTGCTTTCCTACTACTCTAGAAATTCTCATTTTTCTTTGCTGACTGTAAAACTAGGTGACAGAGAGCACAGATATGGCTATCCACATCTGATTCGTTAAACTTTATCCTTGCTCTCTTGCTATGTCTTATGCTATACTTATTCAGTTTCCTGTACTTTGATGTTTTTCTCAGTAGGGTTCCTTAGTTTTCTCCTATCTCCCCCTCTTCTGTAACTTCCTTGGAATCTGCCACTACTTGCTCTCACCTAAAATATGTCTGCAATTTGATGCTTTTGATTGTCTACCAAAACCCCCATTTCTTCTGAGTTCCAAATATGTTCTTTATTTTACTTTATTCCCCCAGCACACCTAGTGTTCTTTTCTCTAATCTGAGCATCTACTCAGGTGCTCAGGTTTAGGTTCAGCACCTAATCTTTGTTTGTACCAACAGTTGTTCCTAGTTATTTAATAGGTGCAGGTTTGCAGATATGAGGATTATAAAGTACCATGAGAATCTGTGGTACTGTGCTGTATAATATTATTCAAAGAAAAACATTATAGGAATCATGCTGAGAAATTTTCAGCTCTCCCCAATAAACATGGAAAAAATTTTCTTCTGCTTTTTCTTTGTGTATAAAACACAAAGCTGTTTTCTCTGTTTTCTTCTGCCTGTTTTTCATCACTGATCTTAAATCAATCAGAACTGAACTGAAGGGCAATAGTGGATGAGGCAAAAGAGCACGTCTCTTGAAGCTCTAATTCCAAATGCAGTAAGACTTGATTGTACAGCATGATCATTAGGGAGAGGATAGTCTAATGAAGAGAGTACCAATCTATGACTCCAGCAGGTCTAGATTTAACTCTTTGCTCTTTAGAGAACAAATATTACTGGTGAATGAAATGTGAGGCTGAATAATTCTTAACTCTTTAATCGACTGTTCTCCTATTTTGCGGTTCCCATCTACAAATCCACAGACCTATCAGCTGCTATGGCTGCTTGCATATGAGTAAATGAAATTGTGCCAAGGATTGCTGTTGGGCACTGGGACAGTTGCACAGGCACTACCTGTCACTTAGAGAAACCCTGTGTGGTGGAGTACTGTGCAAACTATCAGTGTCCACAACAATGTCCAGTTCCCATTACAATTTGAATCATAGAATCACAGATGCATAGAATAGGATGGGTTGGAAGGGACCTTTAAAGGCCATGTGGTCCAGTGCCTCTGTAATAAGTAGGGACATCTTCAACGAGATCAGTTTGCTCAGAGCCCCATCCAGCCTGACCTTGAATGTGTCCAGGGATGGGGCTTCTATCACCTTGCTGGGCAACCTGTGTATTTCATCACCCTCATCATAAAAAATTTCTTCCTTACATCTGGTCTGAATGTACACTTTTTCAGTATAAAACCCATAAACCCATGTCCTATTGCTACAGGCCCAATTAAAAAGTCTGTCTCCATCTTTCCTATAAGCTCCCTTGAAGTACTGGAAGGCTGCAATAAGGTCTCCCCAAAGATGCATTTTCTCAGGCTGAACAACCCCCACTCTCTCAGCATTTCCTCAGCAGCTTTGAAGGATGCATCTGTGTCGCCTAGAGTAGGTAAATACAGACTACACCATAGTCCCTCTTTGAAAGGGACTTTATATTATATTATCCCTTCTTTTTAGAGTGCTTCATAGCATAAATTCTGTCCTCTGATATGTTCCATAAAACAGATTATTGAGATGAAATAAATAATAATGAGTCTGCAACAGTAGTTAAGCCTCAGTTCAAAGTAATATCTTTCATCTGCAAAAAATTTTTGGTAGAACTGGAACAGGAAAGAGTCACAGTTCCAGGAATCAGACTCTTTGATAATGAGGCACACAAGCAGTTTGCCATGGTTCATTAATAAGCAGCTTTTTCATCATTGGTCTAGTATTACTGATTAAGTGATATACTTATTCCTTGATTGAATGCTTTCTTCCTACTTGCCAAATTTTTTGTGGGTTTCTATCCATAATTGTCAGCTCTGCACTGTTCTTCAAAGAAATCATTTACCTGATATTACAGCTGGAAGTTTCTATAATTCTAAAAATGCAGGTGTTCAAAACTGTTCCTTTTGTTCTGTCAGAATTTTTAGACTTGCTTTTGTTACTGTAAAAATTTATTGTAATATCTGCAAATTAACTGAACAGCTTATAAAGAAACTGGCATATTTGTTTATGCATAAAAATAGAGGAGTGATTTCTTCCCTTCTGCTTGTTTTCAGTATAGTGGGTTAGTTCCACGGGAGAGCTGGGACATGTGGCATCCAACCCTGGTGGCTGAGGCCCTGTTTGCAATCGCAAACATCTTTAGCTCCCTGCGCTTGATCTCATTATTCACTGCAAATTCTCACCTGGGACCTCTGCAGATATCTCTAGGAAGAATGTTGCTGGACATTTTGAAGTTTCTCTTCATATACTGCCTTGTGCTGCTAGCTTTTGCAAATGGATTGAACCAGCTGTACTTTTACTATGAGACAAATGAACCTGGCAACTGCAAAGGAATACGATGTGAAAAGCAGAATAATGCATTTTCAACGTAAGTGTCTGATCTATTTCTATCCTTCCCTTCTGCCTCAAATATTTTAATCATTTTGATGTGGTTTACAGGAAAGAGGCTCCCTTTTCTATTGGTATTACACTGGTGTCCTGACAACCACATTTAATATTACCCTAATTAAAAAAAAAATAAAATTAACACTACATCACTCTGTAATAACTTCACCCCATACCACAGTAAAGTCCATACAATTCAAGATATCTCAAAAGATAAAAGGTAAAATAAAGGTAAGAGGAAGATATATGAGAGTAGAAGGTACATATTTAGAATTAAAGTCACCAGATCAGAGGTTACTTATCCAGGCAGCTGTAACTCTGCATTTCTTCCGTGTCTACATGTGAGCATTAAATAAGTCTGCTGTCTAACATGAAGATTTCTTGTAAATGTGATAAACTGAGGCAGGAAAGGAACATGCAGTCCAACCTTCTACTGACCCTACACACAATCAAATTTCTATTCTAATTTTTGTTATAAATAATTTTTCTTTTACTTTAAATCAATTTTGCTTCATTCTGGTTTTTAGTTCATCTATACTACCAAAATATTACCAAATTAACACTTCTTCTCTATCTTGTCTTTCAACTTCCAGCCTGAATCAAACTCCTCCTATAAATGTCTGTTCCCTACTTACTTCTGTGTATCTAGGCTGTTTTTAAAATAAAATTATTACCAATAGCTTGCTTCTCAAGGTAGATAATTTTATAAAAATAGCAGGTTTTATGTCATATTAATCAACTGTGTTTTCTCAGGTACAGCATATTTATCTTGCATATTAATAACATCTATGCAGGTCTAAATTTTATGTGATCTGAACAGAAAAGCACAGGGAAATTTTTCAGAGCTCAACTTTGAAGGAAGCAATATTATTAATTTGGGAAATAGCAGGGCCTACTGGTAGTAGTGTCAGAAGATGGTGCCAAGGCAAACTGTGATGAGCTTTTTCAGCAGTTGTGGGGAAGGTAGAATTGGGTTGTTCAATTTGTGCTCAGACAAGTGTAAACCATACAAGAGGCTCCAGAGCTGTACTTTACCACTCAGATACACCATGTTACAGGAGCAGAGATTCAGGACCTGCCCTCTCAGGTTCTCTCTCTAGGATAGGGCTGTACTGGGTTGCATGGAAACACTTCACAGATGATACCATATGGTGGGAAGGAGACCAAAGGGTTACATTTTGTCCATCTCTGGACAGTACATCCCAGAGTGTGGGATGCAGGGTGATATGAGTCCCTTGAGTCCCTGCAGTTCAGCAGCCTCCCTGCTCTAGGTGCAGTAGGGGTAGCACTGGTGGTCCACACATCCTCTGTGGGTAACCTGCTTCTGGTGTTGGGGTGAAGGAGCAGGAGAGAGGCCACAGGGAAGATTCACTCCAGTTAATCTCAAGATACGGGCCTAGATATGCAGAAAATTTTGCTCCAAACTTTTGAGAAGCAAAGAGCATCTCTAGGGCCATGCTTATAACACTATAGTGTAGCTGAATATTGCACAAAAGTGAAAATTTTTCAACCTATCTAGGATTATTTTCCAAAGAGGATTATTTTCAAAAGTTCATCATTGTTACTAGCTTCCTAGCCATTGTCCTAAACTTCCCTAAGGGAATATCATATACTTTAATTATAAAAGAACGTTTCTTTTGAGAACAGCATGCTTGTCTTTTTTCTGTCTCTCTTCTTTGCAAAACAAAACATATGCTAATGATACTAATGTCTTTCTAATTATACAACTCCTTTTATCTTAGTGGCTCTCAACACAAACCAATATTGCATAAACTGACTAGGTATGAGGACACCAGACTTCTTCAACAACCTGGTGAAACACAAACATTGAGTAACTTTTGGATCCTTATTTTACCCCCTTCAGCCAAGGCAAAGGGTCAAAATGCTTCAAAGGAAGATGTCCATCATAAGATCTCTAAAACTATATTTATCCCTCTAAAGTATGGACAAAATCAGTGTTTTGACGACAGGCTAATTTCTAGATTCTGTATTATATATCTAGAGGTTCAGATATGAAACATTAAGCTGTTGTTTTGCTAGAAAGGTATTCCATCTATGTTGGCTATATTGTGGTAAACATCATTCAACTCAGTCAAGTCAAGGACTTTTGTGTGTTTTGCAAAAAACTGAACAATCTGAAAACTAAATGTGTTTTATTATACAGCTATTCCTTTTGGGTTTTGTTTTTCAGATTATTTGAAACGCTGCAGTCATTATTCTGGTCTATATTTGGACTCATCAATCTCTATGTGACCAATGTGAAAGCAAGGCATGAATTTACTGAATTTGTTGGGGCCACCATGTTTGGTACCTATAATGTAATATCTCTGGTTGTTCTACTCAACATGCTAATAGCCATGATGAATAATTCTTACCAACTTATTGCTGTAAGTTGTTCCTTATTAGATCATTTACAATATATGCCTTCTCTCTGTTCCTAGATCCTGTTTTTCTGTCAGTAAAACATTTTACAGACAGGACATTGGCACAAATTTTCTGATTTGTTCTAGTTCTTTTGGACTTTTTTGGAAGGATGCAGAAACCAGACCCAAGCTGGACTGGGTAGAGAGGAATTTCCTCACAACACTGAATAGGAAAGAGGTGACCCTTATGAAGAAACCAGCTTGTGGGTTGGGAAGGGTGTGCTGATGCTTCTGGCAAATGATGGACTTCAGCCCTGCCCAAGCTGCACTGTACAAGACCTCTTCTGAAAAAGAGACTGCCCAAGATTGTTCTGTCTCTGCTTTATATTTGTTAGCATTTGAAAGACTGTTATTTTTTTATTTTTATCTGGCATGAATATACATGAATATACAGTTAACAGAAATTGGATGCCCATGTGCCATGGACAATTTTGGACCCATTAGCAATTCATCAAAATGTCATGTCTTCTCGTTCAGCCATGTCCTGTTTTCTCCTTTAATGAAAACTATCTTTATCCTTGTCAGAGCTATTTGCTCATTTTTATTTCTCAACTGTCTACTAAGGAGACTATGGGAAATAAACACTGATTCATCATATGATAATTCAAATATAATCATGCCAAAAGCAAACAAATAAAAGAAAGCTTCGGTCTTAAGATTTTAAAATGTGCCTTTTTTTCTAATTTGGAAATTACAAGTTTTTCAAAAAGAAATACTGACTACCTGTATTTTTATAACACTTGTTGGCAATGTCTTGTGCACAATATCACAACACAGTACCATTCACCAAAACTTGGGCTGCAGGTAGTGTACTTTTGCTACTACAACTTCTAAATTTCTATGTTGATTACTGTATGGCTAGGGCTAGACCTGGCTACTGTGTTTGTTACCCAAATCCAGTATTAGTGATTTAAACTTTTTATTCAGCTGCTAGGATTTAGAAATATTTCCATGGACTTTAGTTTTGATTTTTCCAAACTTTTCAGAATTATATAATACTATATAGAATCCAAAAGAAATAAAATTTCAAATAAAAGTTATAAAAACATCCCACAACCTATTCCCAATATAGAATTTTGAAGTAGAAGGAAAAAAAAAGATAATTGCCTTAGCAGTTTTAGTAGCCTCATGATTTGTCGGATAACTTACTTGTGAATTTTGGGTGCTGACAATTACTAAGAAAATACATGAAACTTACTGACTTGTTGAAGCTGCTGCAGAGCAGTGTAATTAGACTGATCTATGTGGAATAATGATGTGTTGCTTTTATAATAAAACATTTGTTCCAGAAATGTAGTATTTTTCTGCTTGTAATTACCCTTTCAGTTTTTCTGAGAGACTTTTAATAATTTAAATGCTCGTAACAGGGAAAGAAATGCTTATAAGTGGATATATACTTTACATACCAAGTATCTAGGTGTAAAGCAGCTTAGCTTTGCTTTGCGTTAAAGACCTTATGTCAAAGAAGATGGCAGTATTTTATCAAGACAATTCATTAGTATTTCAGGGTTATTCTGGTTTTAGTTTTTCAGATTTTTCTAGAGGTTTGTTTTACCTCTTTAATTACAGCAATATCTATGTTGATGTTGTGTCTCTGGTGTGCAGGATCATGCAGACATTGAGTGGAAGTTTGCTCGAACAAAGCTCTGGATGAGTTACTTTGAAGAAGGAGGAACTCTGCCCACTCCTTTTAATGTCATACCAAGCCCAAAGTCTCTGTGGTATCTGATCAAATGGTTATGGAGACACCTTTGCAAGAAAAAAATTAGAAGAAAGCCTGAAAGTTTTGGAACAATTGGGGTAAGTAATGGAATTTACTCTGCCTTTAGTCTTCCTCTTTGCTATTTAGATGAGCCTTTCTCAGCCTTATAGAGCATCCAAACAGTCAAATAATGTGCATATGAGTTAGAGAATAATTCTAGCAGAGAATGTTTACTTTTTACATTCATGTCAGTGTATTTTACTGAAGACAAATCATCATATCCCTGTGCAATGGCAATATGAACCATGACTGTGCCTTTTTAAGAGATAATTCAAGAAAGATTAAAAGCGATACAGAATACAAGAGATCAAATGTGTATACTTGTCTACCAGTCCCAGAATTTTTGGTTGATGATCTCCAGCTCCACGTGCCCAATTACCCATTGTTCAGGTGTAATTGACGTATCATGAACCACAGGCTCACTATAAAGTATTGGTCATGGGATATTCTCTGTGTCTCTGTCTCCTTACATGTAATGAAATAGGTTTACCATAAAAACATTCTTACCAAAAGCTGTTCTCATTAAAGAAAATATTTTGAAAGGTAACAGCATTTACATGGACTCACTTACTTGAATTTACAAGTAGCATTATTTCAGAATCACATTGGTATACTATTCTAATAGTGCTATTCTAATATATTCTAAATATACTATTTCTAATAGAAAATTCTAATTTTCTCTAATTTCTAGAGAAAAAAATAGAGGGGAAAAGATACATAAGGAGACTGAGAATAGTCCTGCACCTGGATTGAGCAGGTGCCTGTGTGATATCTCAGATGCATACTTTCTCTGGTAGCAGGAGGTAAAGCAGATTTGAATTTGTCCTTCCTAATTTCATCTAGTTGAGATAGCTCAGTCAGCAACACAGTTTTTCTACCTTGGCAGAGCAAATATCCAGGCAACATCCTAACCCACCAACAACTAAATCTCTCTAGTTATGTTTTCTGTATTTCCCAAGAGCAAGTCAGTACCTCAGTAACTAGACTGCATTTAGGCAACTCCAGCATAAAGAAAACTGATTTGGGTGAGATGTGAATAGTGGCACTTTCCCTATATCATAGGGGTTTGGTGAATATAAATTTTTTCAAGTCTGTTAGGAACTCAGATAGCCAAGCATTAAGTGAGAGTATAAGAGTCAAGTGTGGGTAAGGGGAAAAAGAAAGGGATGTAGTCCTCATGCTGTTGACCCTGGTAGAAAAACTTCAATCCATTTCAAAAAAGCCAGGGAATATGAAACAATTCTTTGATGGACCATTAGTATATCAATGTTTTCTTTGTATTTCTTCACTGTTTCTTGATAAGTAAGTAATAAGGATAGGTTTTTCCCACCTATTCTCATGTAATATCCTGGAATTCAGTTTAATTTGGAGCTATACTTGGAGGAACAAGTTTACATGGGTGTATAGATATATGATAAAGAGGAAGAGTGACATATAAAACTAATTCACAATTACTATTACTACTGATGAATGAATTTTGTCCTCTTTGTAGAAAGCTTCCAATCAACCTTATTGCAATATACTGATCTCATTGCCCAGTATCTATGTTGTGAAAGCAAAATTGCTTCACTTAGCTGTCATACTTGTACATAGCAAAGAAACAGCTAGAAACAGAAGATTGTAAGCATGAGAATGACATTAAAACAAACCAGTAGTGGACTACAAGAAACACATACTGAATAAAACCCATTAAAATTAATATGAAAAAAGCAGTGAAAAGAGACAAACATTGATTCATATAGAAATTTTAAAAAGAACATGAACTAGTGTAAGTGGGGAATAATTTTAAGGATGAACATCTCTGTGTGACATAGGAAGGAAAAGAAGTAAATGCAGAGACTTACAGGAAGAAAAATTATGAGATTTTGTTAGAAAGAGAAAATCAAGAGAGAGAGTGATGTACTTGGGTGTGGGGGAGAGTGCGCAATGCTTCCAGGCATTTGTTAAACATTTGGCAGGGATGATTAGGTAGTGTAAACTGATAGAATGATATTAAACTTAGTGCCATGATGCCAGTGTTGGTTAACAAAATATCCCTGTTTGACTGAGACACATCCAGAATACCCTTATATGTCCCAGCTAAACCTTCAGAACAATATTTTTTGTCAGACTTTCCATCCACGATAAGGATTTTTTTTTTCCTTTTTCTTACCTTCTCAAACTGCAGATCTATGGGTAAACTCATTCCTGGATCTGTGGAATAATAAAGAAAAATACAGGGTGCTCCCAGCCCTATGTTGAATGGTATGATGAGAAAGGGGATTCAGAAATATCACCTCCTGCTTCCTACAGCTATCTCCTGCTAGAATACATAAATACCACCTTCTAGAAATCCACATCTTAGATTTGGGAAAATTGGTGCAGCAAAGAGTCAAAGGGCAGGCAGTCTATTCACAGAGCTGCTTGAGAATTTTTTCAATTAGAATTTTCAGGTATTTTAATGAAGAAAGATTAGAAAATCTGTAACCTCCAAGCTTTTTCATTAATAAAATCCAGTTTCAAAGAAGCTTTTGTCGGAAAAGACTTTTCAGCTTCAGGATGGAATTTCTGTTTGAAGAAAGAAGGAGCGGGTGCCATGTAAAGCAAATAGCTTGGGCTAAGGGAGACCCAGGTTCACTTCTATTCTCCAGTGGATATTTAATTATTTACCCCAAGCATAACAGCTCTGGCAGGAGAGATTTCCATCTTGAGATCTTTAAGAGCCTGCAGGAGTTAAGGTGCTGTCTTGAGAGAACAGAAGAGAAGGAGCTGAACCTGGCTTCCTTATGATTTGAATGTGAACCACTAATTACTAAACTGTTTGAGCGACATTCTTAGTTAATTTCTGTAAAGTTTTTTAAAAAATGGTTTGAAGAAAGTGAATTCCCAAAGCATATGAAACAGTAGGGCCATATCCATCACTATTTTCCCCTGAAGAATAGTTACTTAGTTGGAAGTAGAGCTCACCAGCAGAACCATCATGGCAACCAGACTTCTAGCTGTCTGGAAAAAGTGAGTGGCTGTGGCTTACCAGGCAGATTCAGTCCACCATATGGGCATCTCATAAAACTACAAAGTTCTTCAGCTATCTTCTCAGCATGACAGAAGCCCCATTAGGGGTATCTCAATTTGGAACATTTTGCAATTTCCAGGCCCAGTTGTGCACCCAAGCTCCAAAATGGAGTAAGATGTGGGTATGCACTATGCACTCTGATTTCCATATTAGATAGATGCAAACCAGATGCTGTTAACTGGATGTTCCCCAAGAGGTGAAGTCATCAGAGAACAAATGGACGCACTGCAGTGTTCTCATAGTTTGTCTTGGGGGAATGCAGTGCTTTCTGATTTTGAAAAACTTATTTCCATCACCCACAGTTCAGCCTTGTTTTCCTAGATCTTTTTCAATTGTCCCAACAAGCTACATCACAAATTAAATTTAGAACCTCTATGCCCTTTGAACCAAAAGTAAATTAAGAGTTTTCTTTACCTTTTGTTCAAGGATTCCAGGTGACAGCTCTCTGACTCTGGCTCACTGGAATCTCCCCTGTAATAACTTTGGCCTCAGAGCTACAAGATAAGCTTTGTTGGGACCTACTCCTTTTCACTGAGTCCTGCATTATAAACTCCAATTCCTTCCCTACAACCAATACTGGAAAAAAAAAACCAAACAAAAACACTATAAACTGATTTTCTTATATTAGCTGTATGGATATATAGATGCCATGTTGTCTGTAAGGAAGAACTCAGATGTCAAAACGTTTTGTCCTGAAATCTCTAAATGTTAACTTTCCTATCAGGAAGCGCTAATCCATGGTGACATACTATGGTGTTTTCCAGTAGAAAAAGCAATAGCATGCATCCAAAGGGTAAATCAGTCCTAGAGGATGCAAAACAGATAATAGAATGCAGCTGGCAAGCATCATGCATGATCTCTGCACAAGAAACCTTAGTACCAAAAAGCCAGGAATCACAAGCTAGGACTGAATCAAGGATGTATTATACGTCTCAACAATCCACTGTAAAATTTTTATATGTGTAAACCTGAGAGTTCAGTATATGCAGACAGAACATGTAAAGAAAGGGTTCAAGATCAGGATAGTTTGCAGCACACATGCTAGTGGAAGGATTTATCTGGCTCATAGGAAGAAGAGAAATGTCAGTAAAAATAAGTATGACGTGGTTGCTTGGGAGGACCATCTACATTGCTGTTTATAACAAAACTATCATGGGAAAGAACAGGGTCTGTAGGCTTGTGAGGTGCCTCTGAAGAAAGCTGATTAATTTGCTTCTCCTTGGATGTCAGTTCTGTGATTCTTTCATCCTTTGTTGCTCTAGGACATGTGAAGCAGTGGGTGGTGAAGTCAAGGGGCGGTTTTTCAAGGGAGAGTTTTTTTCTCCAAAGCAACACAGTGCACAGCCATGCTGATGGCAGCTTCTCTAGCCACAGTTACATCTGAAGGAAAGCCAGGATGCTTACATGTGATTTACTAGGATTTCAGTTCTGCTATGAATCAGACAGAGCTCTTCTACCATTCAGAGTTCAGCATATTTTTATGTTCTGTCATTTTGACATATCCCAGGTATGCAGCATTCTCTTTAGCTATCTCTTTAGCATTCTCTTTAGTTATCTCCTACACTTAAAACTCTGAAATAAAAGTGTGTGCTGCTCTTTATATACATATGTGTATATATATATATATCTATAAAAATATCAGCTTTGTTAATTTTGTCAGCTCACCTTTGCAAAAGTCAGATTAGTAATATAACTCTATTGATTATGCTGATGTTTCCTGACTGTACAAGACTTTGGGTTTGTCAAGGCTACTCCTGTTGGCCATCTGAAATCCAATGCTATTTCAAAAAAGAATATATATAGGAAAAGAAACTCTAATCCCAGTGGAATAAATTTTACTGTTTTCCTCAAATTACATTCTCCTTTATGCCTGATCAGTCACCAAAAAGTGTTTTACTTTTTTTTAGGTATTTAAGAGGAGAAAATGGAAAGGATTGTCAGGGATATTGTCAGTAAATATATTTTTTGTGCATCTGGTGTTTAGATAAACTGTTACCTCTTTTCTAACTATCCAGATTTTTATGCCATTTTCCAAGTATCCTGCATGATTTTATTATCATTTGTCAGAGAAAATCTCCTTTTCCCTTCTCCTGTTCTTTGTTATCCCAGTGGAAAATGATGCAACTTCTAAGTGAATATAAGCATTTTCTATTTTCTCTGTAATGTATGTTATGGAAAGTTGAGCAAAGAAATACCTTCCACCTGGCATGGAAATTGGTAATCTGTAGTGTTTGTTCTATAGCCAAGGACCATCTCATGGAGAAGCCTCTTTGTCAACAGAGATAAATTCTAATCCTTTTCATGCGATGCTTCTGTTCAAGATGAGGAATATATCCCATGATTTCAGACAATAGTTTTTTGGACCTTTATTACTAACTAGTACTCAGTAATTATCAAACATTTTCTGGACCTTTATTACTAAGTAGTTTGAGGTCAAATGCAGACATTAAATTTGAATTTCTGCTTTATGAAACACTTCAAAGGAATTAATTCAATATTATCAAATTTTTACTGCTAAAGAGATTTTTCTTCCAAACAATGCAAATTACTAGGAATGGCATGAATAGGAAGACCAAAATAAGTATCACTACTAGCAGAACTACTGTTAAAGCTTCCTAAAGGACATTAGTGCCCCCTTTTGGAAAATGACAACAGTATCCTCTTCAAATTCATTATCTCATTCCACATTTGTCATTAGAAGAGTGTTTCTCCCTTGTTGCTATTTTTAGTCAAATTTAACTTTCATCCCTTTGTCGGCCATAGTTTTCAACTTCTTCAGGCAGATAGCACAATGATTACTCAAAACAAGTTTTGAACCACAAATTAGACTATAACTGGGTAGAGGAAAGCAGGCTGAGAACTGAATGAGGACAATATGAGTGTTAGTGACATTTTATTTATAGTGAATAGCTTGATTTTCAGATGTGTCTGGGCAAAGATTCATTCTGCTTTCAAAAGAAATCAAAAGATGATTATGAACTGGAGACTGAATCCAAACATTTAAGCAGGAGATAGAAAACTGATGGGGTAATAACTTTGATAAGTTGCTTGTATGCATAATTTCATGTGCAGGATGTGGCTTTATATGAAAACATAAAATGAAATCAATTTTCTTTCAGCTTCTCAGTGGTATGGAAAAATAAATCTTTTCAGATAGTCATCCTAAATTGCATTTGTTGGCATTGCATTGAGTGCAAAAGCCACAGCCTCTGTTTCAGGGAGTTTCCAAAGTGGTTGCAAAAAGAAGATAAACAAGGTATTTCTTGTTATAGGTACAGAATTAAACCTATACATTTATTTCACATTTGGCTGTAATCCAAGCAGAGCAGACAGCAGCGGCAGAAAGTATTCTGCCAGACAAGAATCAGCATTTGTTTTATTTATGAGTTATTAATTTTACCTGAAGTGTGTTTCAATTACACCTTGAAGTGTTTTTCCCTTTATCTGTGAGTTAGATTTGTTGTTGAGAGCTCTCTTAGCCACCGACTCCCTTAGTGCTCTCTCAGCAGGAATGAAATATCTCCATCGTGTGGTCAACTGCAAAAAATGAGTTGGGGTTTTTTTTTCTAAAAAACAGCTACAGCTGCGTGTTGGGAGGGTATCAGCCTTCCCATGGCTGCCTTGCCCCCTCTGGCCCCAGTGGTGGGCAGACTAACGCATTCCTCCACCCTTTTAAACACAAGGAGTTTCCATCTTCTCTTTGGATGAGGTATAGATACAGAAGCATGATCTGGAAAAATACTGAAGACAAGATGCTTGTGTATAAAGCCCTCCCCTGGTTGTTCAGACTGATTAGGAAATAATGATTTTCCCCCTATTATTTTTTGCCAAGCCCAACCACACAGTCACTGCATCCCTCAAATTAATTGCAAACAAGAAATCAACCTTGAAGTGTAAACTGACTCCAAGTACAGGGAAATTGGTAATCACTTCTTTCAAATAAAAGAAGATGACAAAATAACTTACTGTGTCTGCCTCATTATGCAACTGAGGTCAATTTTAACAAGTCTCTTGGATGTCCTTTTGCCCTGTTTTAAGCTGTTGTAAGTGTTCCGTTTTGTAGAAATACAGTCAGTGGTCAGACACATTCTTTTCTTGTCAGCAGCAGATATAAGAACCCAAGTTAAAGCTGTAAATCTTTCTTTCACCAGTCAGGGATAATTAAGGTAGAGGACAGGGTTATGTGGCTCAGTATGCAAGTGAGGACAACAGAAATTAAAGGAAAAAATAATTCAGGCCTTTTTTTCTCCCTCTCTCTTCTCCTGGACAGCCTCTAGATATGGCAGTATAATGTAATTCAACACCTGCTTGAAACCTGTACCATTATTTCATCCGACCACATTTCTTTTTGCTGCTCCTCTTCAGAGTTACTGTCCCGTTTACCCTTCTTCCTTATCAACACCTAGCTATGTTGAAAGCTGAATTTCTTTCTTCCATACACCTCTCTGTGACTAAGTGCTTTTGACAGAGAACTAAGCAGGAATTTTCTCTTTGATATGGTTTATAGTGCAGGTTTTGGTTTGCTTTATCTTAAATGAGACATTAGGAGCCATAGCAAGTGTCTTGCTAACATCATGGTTTTACTAACCCCACTGTGTTGATGATTTTCCATACAGAATTTCCCTTCCTACAACTCATGTCTATTGACTTCTGTTCGTTTGCTGTGCACCTCCAAGAAAAATCTAACTGGATACAAATCAAACTTTTTTCAATTCAGTAAAATATTCTTCGGCCTGCGCAAATGAGTGACATGATTCCATTGTTCCCTTTCTATCTCAGATCAGAGACCTTGGGATCAGAGACTCTGGCAAGCAGTGACCTGGGTGCCCACCACATCCATGACAATGCTGGAATAACAGCATTTTGATGAAAATGTAGAAAATCCTCTTCCCGATAGCAGCATTCTCCTTTCTGTAAAGCAAATAATAGGCTTTGCTCCAACACTGTCATTTTTCAAGACTTTGAACCATTTCTCACAGCTTGGTAGATACCTTATAATGTACCTTATACTGTTTTGCTGTGGCTAAGTATTTTGCTTCCAGACAGGGATTAATAGCTTTTTGGTTTTTCTGTTTTCAGAGACGTGCAGCTGACAATTTGAGAAGACATCATCAATACCAGGTACAAACCTGTGTTTACTTTTGGGCAATTCTTTTTTCTATGCCTCCAGAATGTTTTCATGAGGGAAAAAGAAAAAAAAAATAAAGAAAAATTTAATGGGAAAGCAGAAAAGAAAAATAAAAGGAAACACAAAATGCATACTTATTTCACCTTAGCAAACGAGCTTAGTAATTTTGGTGTTCAAAAAAAAACTTTTGAGAAGTATGGTTGTCTTCTTTTAGGAGCAAAAGGGTATTTTCTAGAGCAATAACGTGCTAACCAGTATTTTGTCCACTGTAACATGGAGTGCCTTTAAAAAAAGCAAACACATAGCCCCAACTCCCTGCCAGGATTCATCAGGAGTGTATATGCAGCTCACTGATGTGCTCTAACCTGCTCTTCATCTCTCCAGCTCTAGTCCCCCATAAACAATTTCTTTTCCCTTAATAACCCCTCTGCCTCAGGTTATTACAGGATTCCCTGTAATTAGTTCTTCTTAATCCTTCCTTCTTCAGCTTCTGCTTTTTTGAGATTATTGTAACACAATGAATAATTTTCAGCTTTATTTTGAATTTTGTTGCGTTAAAAGGGCGGCAAGTTAAACAACATGTAGGCTGTAAGTTTAGTAATAATGAATTCCACATGGGAAATAACTAGAAAAACTAGGACTTTTCCAACCTGAAAAAGAGACAACTGTAAAAAGTAAAACAGGGATCTGTACAATTATGGGGAAGGTGAACACAGAGCAGCTGTTTGCCATTTATCCGCAAACTGAATACCACACACATACTGTGCTGCATTAGTAAGGCTGTAGGCAGCCCTTTGAAGAAAGTGATTATTCTTCTCCAGCCCACACTTGTAGGACTCTATCTGGAGCCATGTGTCCTGTTTGGGCCCCACACTACAAGAGAGATGCTAACAGACTGGAAGGAATCCAGCAAAGGGCCGCCAAGATGGTTAGAGGACTGACAAAAAAAAAATCTTGGATTTCAGCCTGGAGTTGGTTAAGGGGAATATAACTGCTGTCTTAAATAACATAGTGGGTGGTTAGAGAGAATGAGCCAGATTTTTCTTCAAAGTACACAGCAAAAGAACAGGAGTCAGTGGGCACAAATTGCAGGAAGGGAAATTCTGTAAGGTAAGGAGAAACATCCTCACAGTGAGGGGAGTAAAGAATTGGAAAAAATTGTTCAGGGAGGCTGCAGCTTCTTCATTCTTGGAGATATTCAGCATTTGACTGGACATGGCCCTGAGCTGAATCAGACAGCCTCCAGGCATCTTTTCCGACCTAAGTAATTTCTAGGATTCTTAGAAGTAGAAGGCAACAGTGGTAACTATCAGAGTTCAGGTTAAAAATAAATAAAACCCAAATGGAATCTTAGTCCAGCTATACTGTAGAATTAATTGGCAGAGGATTTCTGCATACTGAAAGTTTACATGAGTTCAAAATGCATAGGAAAACCTGTCACAGCCAGTTAAACCTAGAACTGTCATTTCTGATTCAGAAAGTCACTGAATCTCACAGCTTGGGAGGCTTGAGAGAGAATATCTGGAAATAGCGTTATACAGCCACACTAGACTTAATCTCCTCATGAGGCATCAGCAACTGCTCAATGTCAGGCTGCACATTACTGGCATGAGACATACCCTTGGTCAAACCCAATATAGCCCTTCTCACGATAGTAAACATTAGTACTTTCCATGAAAAAGCAGAACCAATTTCTAAACAGATCTAATGCTTATACATTTTTTGTCATGTTCCTAAAACACAAGAAAAGCCCAAGCAGAGCCAAAGAATGTAAGTTTAGTAACTAATACCAAGAAACCTAACACAATGCTTTATATTTTTAGGAAGTTATGAGAAATCTGGTTAAGAGGTATGTTGCAGCAATGATAAGAGATGCCAAAACTGAAGAAGGATTGACAGAAGAAAATTTTAAGGTAGACATTTATTTTTATGTTTATAGGTGTTTTTGTAAGATATTATAAGACTGTGAATCATATTTCTCATACTCAGTTGTTCAGGTAGCTCTAGTAACTTCCTAGAGCAAGTTCTTCTACCTTGAAAATAACAGGTATTATCCAGATGGTGAAGTTTATTACTAATCCCTGCCATAAACCTTTTTTTTCTCTATTTTATTTTTTTTAATTACAAAAGGAAAAGTCAAATTAGCTTTCATGCTCTGATGTTTCATCTTTCTTCCTAATTTTTAGGAGTTAAAACAAGATATTTCCAGCTTTCGCTTTGAAGTCCTGGGTTTGTTGAAAGGAAGCAAGCTGTCTAATTTGCAGACTGCAAAGATGAACAAAGACACTGCCTCTCTGTCAGAAAATGAAGAAAATAGCGAGAGTGAAGGAAACAAGAAAGGAAAGAAAAAACCCTTCAGCCTTTTTGACATAACAACGATGATTCACCCACGATCAGCCAATATTGCCTCTGAAGGGCATAATGTAAGCAATGGCTCAGCAATGATGGTGTCAGAGTCCACTCAGGAGAAACAAAAGCGTGTGAATTTTGTAACAGACATAAAAAATTTTGGGTTGTTTCACAGACGATCAAAAACAAACTCTGTGGAGCAGAGTACAAATAAAATATACACTGTTTCTGAAGAGGTTTCCCGTCAACAGGCAGAAGAACAATGTGAGAAAACTGATGAACTGGAACAGGGAGAGTTGACCATGAACTGTGAATTAAATATCCAAAATCCTGACAAAAAATGTGTGTTAGCTGATTCACAAAATAACAGCAACTCTTTGGATTCACAGGAAGAGGGAAGTATTTGTATTTTAGAAACAGAGAAAATGGAGTTACAGAACTCAGAACCTGCCACACCGCAGGATCAGCTGGACAAGGCATTAGATATTAGCATTGACTCTGCTGGAAAACAGGAAACAATTATTCAGGGTGACTATGTGATAACAAGGTTGTGATGCTTACAGGAGGAAGCATTTACAAATATATATATTTTGCATAGTGCTTTTGGGGAGGGGGGAATGTTTTAAGAATTATATTAGCAAATGCAGAATTACACTTTATAGTACTCAACTGTGGCACTTGATCTTGTAACATAATAGTCAAAAGAAAGATAATATGAGGACCTTCTGTTTTGTAGCCTGCTTTAGCTTTCACGATTTGTTTTACATTTTTTAATAAATGGAAGCATCTTGTATTCTTGTACCGTTGCAATAACCCACAGAAACTTTTTAGCTATCTTTTTCAATTACAACAAATGCAATTTCTCTCATATGATAGTTGACTCCTATGATAAATATTTTTCTATGCAAATAAAAAGTAGCTTAAGAGACTTGTAAGCCTTTATTTAACTTTGTAGGTTCTTAAAATATTCTGGGCATCATAACAATCATACGTGGCTCCTGTCAGCATAATTCATGTCAAGCTATTAGAATCTTTTATTTAAATTGCTAGAAATTTAATTTGTTTCAAAAGCTATACAGAATCAAAAGATAAATTATATTCTTTTATTTATTGAAGGAACATGAATACCTGTAAATTATGAAAGATTGGTCTATTTGATTATTTAATTACAGCTTCTCCCTCACAGCAACAGGAGTATCACTGTCCTGATACCATTGCTAGAAATGCATTTGCAGGGTTTGAAGACTGTGAAAAGTGTTTCTTGTAGGAAAAAAATATCTGTGGTTTGCTAAAAACTGATGATGGATTACTCCCCAGGAATCCATAATCACCACAGTTATTGCTTCTTCAATGATTAATTTTTCCTAACATGAACAACCTATGCACTTTAATATTCAGCTGCTTATTAGCTTTTGCCTTTACAATACACTTGCATTTGCTAAGAGAAAGATACTTCAGGACTAAGCAAGCATACAATGATCCCCTGAGTACCTGGAAAAATATGGCAATTTTTTGAGAAGTTTTAAAAGGCAAGCCTTAAGAGAGTTTCTTTGACAATTTCAGAATTTAGGGGAACCTGATTGGATGTTTTATAAAAAATACCTAAATGTATAAAGAAAACCTGATAGTATTTTTAATAACTGATGAGTGAGTTATTGTCTTAGTCAAAACCAGTATTTTTTAAATTAAACAGTCTGTTTCTTTTTAATTGTTGACTGGTGTCCTACATTATTAAAAATGTAATTTTTCAACTGGCCTAAGAATGACCACCCTCGAACTCTCATTCTTTTCCTCCCTGAATATACCACGTAACTTAACTTCCCTAGCCCTGCCATGGTAGATTTTGTAGTTCATATTAGCCTGTATTAAGAAAACTCCAGATCCATAGTGTACATTTACATTTCAGATTAAATCCATCACATGTTACTTCCACCTCGTAGGAACTGATCCAAAGCCATATCGTTCTGGATCTAAACTGTCCTGATGCTGAACTGAATTTTGAAAATCCAGGCAAATCCCTCTCATCTCAATACTTTTAGGTGAGTTTTCCAGCTCTACTTTACACTTGTGCTACTCTCTCTGAGCTCACATATTGAAAGCTTTCTTCCTGCATATCTGTTTGTGTCATGGCAGATACGGTTGAACCAAAGTGGAAAATATGAGCTGTAATTGGAAAATAGTTTGTATAGCTTTGCAGCAATGCGTTCAAACCATATTTGATTCATTAATTTCCATCTTGGCCTCTTGACTGCTCTGTAGACCCCCTCCACGTCTCTCTCCTTGTCCACCTTTAGATTGTAAGCTCCTCGGGGCAGGGCCTGCAGCTTTTCTGTTTGGAAAGCACCTGAAATATTACAAGTATAAAAAGAAATAAATAATAAGAAGAATGGTGGAATACCTTCATATCATTTTTATTAGGTAAACTCTTAGAGAGTTCTCTCTTCTACTGTGTGCTAAAAATACCGTAAAGCAATGGTGTCACATGTTGTCACAAAGTTTTTTATATCCAAGTTAACAGTCATTCTCCACCACTGATTTCAGTTTCTCATTCTTCATCACGGTTTGTAACACTTTTGAGTCCTAAGCTTACTACCCTTTCACTAGCCCAAGTTCAAAATAAACAGTGCTTACTCAAAAGGGCTTTCAATACATTCCAGCCACATGGTTTCACTCCAGATAAAATGTGCCTGACCAGGGTATTTGTAATGCCAACATCATCATTATCAGAACAAGTTAACTACCACAGGTCTGACCTCTGTGTATTATTCTGCCATCATTAAAGCCTGTGCCTCCTGTGCATGAAGTTCCCAACACCATACAGTTAACCTGAAACATCAGCCACACCATCACATGCCCACCCCACTGTGCTGGGCATCAGTCTAAGTCTTGGAGTAGATACAAGACAGAACAGTGAGTACATCACAGGTGGGAAGGTTACTTAGTCATAGGGACATGAGGTTGCATTGTGTAGCAATAGGTGGTCAGTCTTCTGCTGCTTTTTTTTTTTATAGCCGAATACTGAAATGTAGGTCTATTAGATAAAGCATACTCAAAATCAACATTTGCTCTGTTTTTTGCTGTTCTTAAGCATCAGAGCTTGACGCCAGTAAGGACTGATGCCACTCCATTTAAACTTAATGGCAACTAAGTACCTCATTCTGTGAAATATATGAGCCCAAAATATATCCTACATTGAAATGGTACTTTTATTGCTTTGCAGGCAGCCAAAAAAAATCCCAAACACTTCTCATTGGATGCCTCTCAGAGGACATCTGTGCCAAGAAGGATTTAGAGGTGCACAGAGCAAGGTTTGTAATGCCATGGTAGAGGCATTATTAAGCTTAGCAAAACTGAGCATACTTTCTCCTCAAGAGAAATAAAAAGTTCAAACCTACCTGTCCCTTCCTGCAGCTCCCATTAGTGTCAGTATAGGAGGAACCGGGATATAAACGCCTGTGAAAGACAGTCTTTTGAGGCAGAGTTTAAGATCTTGAAATGTTTCACAGAGCTAGAAAATTGACTAAATAAAAGGTGTTTAATCGCAATATTAGGTTGTTTAGAATGTTAAGAAAACTTTGTTTAGAACATTTTTTAAAACTCTGCGTGCTTCAATGGCCCTCAAGGGCACTGCAGAGGTGAGAGCCATGCATCACAGGGTTCAGACTGAAGGGTCCCGTGAGCCAGCTGCAGACCACAACACTATCTATATGTGGTACAATATCCCCAGAGAGCAAGCCAGGTAGATGCCTCTTCAGGGAGGAACCATGGCTCTGCAGTTGGTTTTAATCTTGCTTTCTTGGTCCATAGATTTGAGACCATTACATTGACTGGTGTGAGCTTAACACTTCACACAGCATTCTTTTTTTTTTTTCACAGGTCAGGATTTAATGAGAAATTCTATGACTTTCATAATTTGAGTTTTTCTGTGAATAATTAGTGCCTAGTTACAGGAGAATGTATATCTTCAACATAGCTATAGCTGTTGGGAGCTGTAAAAGGTGAAGTTTATGGTATTTGGGCACTCAAAATTCTTCAACAGAATGTTTGATACAAGACTGTCTTTCTTAACAGCATCCTTTGACTAAGCAGAACTCATGAAAAACTCTTCCACTGCATGGAATCAAGGGTTAATTCATAAGAGCTTGCATACTTTCTTCAATGGAACTGAAAAAGCAAGAGTAGCCCCAGCTATATCTGTTTCATATGCTCAGCTTTTTAAGAAACCCAAGGCATTAACAATAAAATCATTCCATAGATTTTTAAACATAGATTTTTATAAAAGTTCATGGTTAATGAGCAAGATAAAATAACCTTCTAGAAATCCATGTGTTTCAATTCAACAGGTTAGTAAAATGACTTTTTTCTCCTGTAATAGCAAATCTTTGCAGATTGAAATACTGTATCCCTAAACTCCACTTGCCACTTAAGAAAAGAACAAAACAAAACCAAACCCTGCAACCCCCAAAAAACCCCACAGAGTTTTCAGATTTCAGAGATTCATGAGGTTTTTTAGTATAATTAGTACCCTAAGAACATCTGAAGGCATTGAGCTAACCTTTTGTAAATTCAATGGACAGCACAGACTGATCCTTAAGTGTGGCCAAGTGAGAATAGTAACTTCAAAATAACTCTATCTGGTTAATGATTAAGCCTTTTAGTCTACAGAATAGAGTTTACAAGTCAGGAGATGCATGCATCACCATTTTCTGAGTCAACATGTCTCAAATAAGTATTCAAGCACATTCAGAGAAACTCATAAAGTCCTACACAATTGTTCATTTCTGCAGTAATTTTCATTCATTTTTACTCCTCTATTCTTCCCTATCTGATGTTTTGTTTTTACAGAGAATGTGTTACTTCTCTAATAAAGATAAATATCTTACATTTTTCTGCTACCTGTTTCTAAAAATAGACAGTAAGAGCAAATCATGCAATATTTTATGTTGCATCATCTCAGCATAACCTGGGACCTTGTCCATAGGATTACAGGATAGTTTACTGGGGAATACCAGAAATAGTTTTATTTGGATGAATTACATGTGGTACTGAAAAATATCGTCCAGCCATATCCCAAACGTGAATACCCATATGCAGCTACCCAAGCATGGAAATAGTCTTTCTCTATGACTAATTTAACTGAACTCAGTTTTACACCAAGAAAAACAAGTAAATAGAGAAAAGAAAAATGAGAGAGATCTGCTTTTATGAAATTAGAGTTAGCATAGTGTTTATTAATATTCTTAGTTACCTTCACTTTTACTAAGTAAATTTAGAGGGATTTTTTTTTCAGCACCTATTTTTTAAATGATACAGTGGCTTCCTTGGGTTGCTTTGCAACACATCCAGACTTTGCATTTAGTAATTTAGTAGAATTTCGTTAACTGAGAGATTCTAAGTCAAGAAACCATTATGAGAGACCTCATCTAAGGACTGGTTCTACTGATTTTCTTTTTACAGGATTGTAATTTCCCAAGATATAAAACTCCCTGACCATTTCCCAAATGAATTTATTTTCCTTGAATTATGTGGCTCTGATCTGAAATCAAATCCACATGGAGGAAACGTCAGGATTTCAGCTGAGAAATGTGCTCTGCTCATTTTAAGAGTCTACAAAAATTATTAACTTACCAAATCATTAGGTATGATTTATAGTAATTTAACAGTCATGTCTAAAGAATAATAATGATAATACAAAAAATATAAAAGCACAATATATGTGAGAGAGTGTTTCAGTATTTAAGTCTGTCTAAAACAGGCCAACCATCCAGAGTTTTAGAAAGTCAGACTCTAACCCAAATCTGGCCCACATTTCCCCAGAGAAATGAATATTGAAAAAGTTTATTCATTAAGGGCCACGTATGGTGGGGAAAGAGCACTTAATTTTGGGAGCTACTTCTTTCTTTGCTTGTTTGTTTGTTTTCTATTTCTGCAGAACATGAATAACTTCTGAAACCTTAAATATTCCCACACACTCACACCCTGGAGCTGATGAAGAGAGAACCAGATGTATGATACTGAGCCAAATTTTATTCAGCATGGTCAGGAGAAGTAAGTGATGAAAGATTAAATAAAAGCAATTATAAACCTGGAACTGGTTGTTAGTAATGCAAAAGGCAAACTTTTTTGTAAGAAACTAGGAAAAACCCAATTTACCCGGGAAATCAATTTTCCACATAAAGACAGTATTAAAATATCATTTGAAGTATTTTCATTAGTCAGCTTTGGAATCTCACGTGGGATTTTCTTGCTGATCTTCTGTGACACTGTCACCAATATCAAAGAAAGCATAACAACATTGACTTATCTCCTGACTGTGTCAAAACGATTCTTAAAATTCAGAGAAATATGTCATGCTTTTTTTTTACTTTTTTTTCCCCTCCTCTCTGGCATATTTCATTCTCAGTTTAAAAGATATGGAAGGAATACAATTGGAAGAAAGACTTTACTTAGTTCATGTCCTTATACTTCAGATGAGATTATCCCATGAAACAAAGAAATAGGTACATTGCAGAGCAAGATGGAACATACCTCACTACATCTGTTTAAGTTAACAGATGTGCTAGAGAATTTAGAAGTAAATTCCAACAATATTACTATGTATTGTCATTGTATCTACAGGCCAAGACTTCTGACTATTGGAAATATTTATATCCGCAGGCGCTGCAGTTTGACAGAAGACTGAGCTGCGTGGTATGAACAGGAGGGTTGTGCCTCAGTTCCCATGCCATCTGAGTGGGAACAGCCATAGTGAATTGAATTTATTAGTCAAAAACCAGCATGCTAAGTCATGTACTCAGCAACTGCTTCAGAATTCACACAAAATCATTCAGTAAATGACATAGGTGAACAACATACAAACCTCTGTGCTCACTTTGGTTCTTTCTTTTTCAAGTTTCTATCTGTTATTCCAAATTCTCTTCCTTTCTGTTTCTACATGTATTTACTATTGACTCTACATCCTTCAAAATTCAGTCCTTCAGTTCCAACATTTATTTTCCTGTTTTCACATCTCCTACTAATTTTGTATACTTTCTTTCCCTCCTCTGTCCTTGATGTGCACTCAGTCAGTCATTGTCACACAATTTCCGAGCTAGTATATTCACTCTTCATATATCTCAACAATGCACCAGTCTTTGAACCTGATTAACATATTCTTCATCTCACATGTTGTGTGACTCAAAACTATTTTTTTGTAATCGTTTTGTCAGTATTAGGCATGAGACAGAACACCAAACAACACTTCTTGTGTCAGGACATCATCCTACTACATGATCTTTTTTCAGATGACTTTGGATGTGATGCATTAAACAAACACTAGGAATATTGAAGAGTAATCTAAAAGCCTAAACTGAGAATGAAGAAAACCATATGCAACTGAAACTGCAGTTGGAATTTACCTCTAGTACAGTTTGGTTAAGACATTTAGCCTAATATGCCTATTCACAGAATAGGATGTCTGATTTTTAATGATGGTAAGCAATGAGGATTTGAGATTATATTTCGTCCTTCTAATTTCCAGCTTGGAGCTTATTTTGTGTTTTACACCTTCCTGTCTGAGATTCATATTGCTTCTTTCAAACATAACCATTTCGGTAAATGGAAAGAGGAAGTGAACATGAAGATGACTGAAGAACTTCCACCATTTGCTGGAAAATCTACTAACTGATTTTGTTTCTTTTTTAACCTTTTTAGATACAAATTGATTTTAAAAATATTAATTGAAATAATCTAATTTTTTCTTTTAGTTTCTTACTTTGTTTATTGGCTATGAAACAATACTTAACTTTCAGCTCTTTCCCAGAAATGTTCTACCCTTCCACTCTCTGAGAATATCTTGTATTTTAGTAATGTATTTTCCATTCTTAATTATGTTTTGTTTGCTAATTATGACCTTTTGATATTTGTATTTTTCCAGTAAATTACTTGGATGCATTTAGGTTGTGTTCTTGATATGACATCAAGCATATATTTTTAATATCCAAGCATGCTTCCTGATGCCTAGACCATGTCTTTTCACAGACTGAAATAGTCACAACAGGGGAGAAGCTAACATTTGCTTTATTGCATTATGGCCTTTTTAACAAAATATTGAAAATAAAATATTTCACTGCTATACCTGGAAGCAGACTTAGACATTTCTATTAAAAGAAAAGAAAAAAAGTAGATATTTGCTATCTCTTTGTTCAGCACACAAGCTTCCTTCATGATTTTTAAGAAATAGAAAGAAAACCTTCAAGTATCAAATCACTTCAGCTAGTCCGGGGAAAACTGAAGAGGCAAAGGGGAAGGAAGTGTTTTCTTCTGATTTAGACTCTTTTGTGAGAAGAGCACTGGTCATCTTTCCAAAATATTAGTAGACCTATTTTAGAGGACACTCAGCTTAGAAGAACAGGTTGCAATTCTTGCTCTCTCTGAGATGCACATCTACAAAAAGACTGTCGATACCTCAAGGATCTTTGGCAGCCTAGAGGAATCTTCCCACTCTTAGGTGAAATATATACTCTAAAAGAAACCTAGATGTCCCAAAGCCCAGCTAAGCACTCTGAATGATTTCTCTATTTCTTTTCATCAAAAAAAGACACTTATAAAATAGAACAAGTCTAACAGGATGCTTAGTCATATAAAATAGCATTAGTGCTTTTGGCATTTGACCCAGCTGCAGCACACTGTCTCTGATGAAACTTTATCACTGAATCAGCAAGTAACTAAGTCTTCTCTAGACTACTCAAATTCTCTCAGGATTATCCCAGTTTGGAATGAAAGGGTAGGAATAACCCAGCCCTAGCTGGGAAAGTGCTTGGCTTGACAACACCTTGTGTCTCTCTGGCACAATGGACTTGAAGGTGTACCTTAGCACAGGCTGCAGAGGGTTCTCCATTTGCATAAAAGGGCAGACACTGAGTGAGTAATGTTTTGACTTCAACGGCAGCACCTGCACAATGAACTTGAGCCCACAAGAATTTCTGAAATCATCTCAGCCCCACCCACTAAATTCCTGGGAACACAAATGAATCAGTTGCTCAGCTCAAATATTGGAATTGGATTCATTTGAATCTCATAACAAAAAGGGCAAAAGGTGGCTTGAAATAATTTCTCCATTGTCTTTCTTTCTGCCTTGAACAAATTCAGGAGATTGATTTCTAATATTCTGTGAGATTAAATGAGCTGGTGTTTGAAGCATTATATTACTAGTTTGACATTGCCTTTGAAAAAACAAATCTAGCAAGAGGTTTTGGTGACTTGCTAATTTTGCATCCATTTTTTATTTGTCCATTAGTTTTTGATGGCTTAGTCTTGATGCTTATCAAGAATTACTTCTTGCCTATTTTTATCACTTCAGTCTTTTAAAATTTAATTTCAAACTGAATTTTCAGACCTTTATAGAGAAGCTACAGACCCCAGGTAACACTACAGTAAACAAGAAAACATTTTCCATGCATCTAACAGTCTTGAAAATGTTCACAATACAGGAAATTTTTAAAATCAGATAGCATGAAAAGTATTATAAATTAAAAGAAGTGTTTTCTACATACCTAAAATGACAGATACAAGGAGGGGGAAATAAAACAAAACCAAACACTGAAGCAGTGGAGTAGCTATTTTTGTCTGAGGCCAACACACTTAGAAGTCTAAGACCTATTTCTAAAAAAAATTTTAGCACAGAAACAGAAAAATAATGTTCATTTTCCATAGCTGGATTAACTTAGACTCAAAAACATGTCTTCCTTTTATAAAAAAAAAATAAAAAATTGAAAATCCTACACTTACTAGCCTGTGTTTATTGCAGATAACGCTGTTATTTCATAAAACTTTTGACAAAGAGGTTTTTTCTGCTCTTTATAGATGCTTACTCTTACCAAGAGTAAACAGTCCTTAATGTACAG